AATCTAAGCATCATTTTTTTTTGTATTTTGTGGTTACTACCCAAAGGGGTGCCATAGTTGTACAATGTATTTATTTATTTTTATATGTGTTGTTATCTCAAAGTATTAATGTTATAAGTATTTACCTTATTATGATTATTTTATTGCAGTATCTCTTCCTGTTTCATTGAATTCGCATGCTTCATCTGTTCCAATTCTCAATGGGACTAACTTCTCAGAATGGAATGAGCAAGTTCAGTTCAACTTAGGTGTGCTAGATCTTGATTTAGCATTTTAAATTGAGAAACCTACTGAGACAGCCTAAGTTTTTCAACCCGGTGCGTCAGTGATGAACCGAGAGATGACCCGATAACGGATCCAAAATGCGAAAGCAAAAGACAAAACAACAGTCTCTAGAGATACATCATGGCTTTAAGACACCATTATGACCCTCAACGAGGTCACGGAACCCAAAGGAATTAAATGGGGAAGCAACGTTTCAAAAACGAACAAGATTGAACCTAGGGGCAAAATCATCATTTCCAACTTAAAAGTGGGTGCCATCGAGCACACCATTGGAAAGACAATGAAAAATTAATGAATTTAGACTCAAGAATCACTTGATTCGGAGTCTGAATGAAGAAGATATGGCTTACGGAAAAAGAAGGGGCAAAACGGTCAAAAAGTGCAAATCCTAGATCATCTAACTGGTTAGGAGACCTTCTTAACCGGTTAGGAGGCCAAAAATCATGAGAAAAACACTGCCCATGCACATGTAATCGGTTACGAAACCCCTCGTAACCGTTTACATGTGAAGGAGGCAGAATGGGCAGCTCAAAAACCTGGTAGCAGGGGTTTTTTCGGGAAAAATGGAAATTTGAGGGCCAAGATGACATTTTATGGAAAAACTGAAGAAGAAACCCCCCTCAAAATCGAGTTTTCTACATGACTCGCGAGGAAAATCAAAAAATACGCAAACTGAAATGCCCAAAATGCCCTCCCAAGAAAACTGGTCCAGAGGGTCCAAAAAGCTGCTAAATTTTAAAACTAAGAGCTGAACTTCGGATGAGATTTCCAATACCAAGATGGCGTTTTTTGGAAAAACACGGAAAAGAAATCCCCCCTAAAATCACATTTTCTAAGTGACCATGTGAAGAATGGAATTTATTTCCCGAAGAAAATTCCCAAAATACCCTTAGGTCAGAATATGCAACAAAAGTGTAAAATGAGTCCGTAGGAGGCTCATTTCACCAAAGAAGAAGCTTTGCCCTTAAACGACCATGCACGCAAATGTATCTTACCTAATAAGATGTGTTACAATGGTCCATGACTCAAAAATATGGCCGAAGAAAAATATGACCCCCCACCGGCCAAAATGCCAAAAATGAAGTTTGGAATGAAAACTTAAAACCTAAAATCATAAAATGATTTCGAAATGCCGTTGGGCCCTTGGCCACACTTCATGCATGTTAAATGAATGCTAATGGAAGAAGTTCATACACAATGCACGCTTCGGTGCAAAATAGCATACTAAAATGCATGGTTTTCCATATGTTCTCATCGAAGGCAAAAATGAACATCCTTGACATAAACGTAATTTCAAAAGGAGTTTGGCCATTGGCCTCATGTCATATACATAAAATGAGAATCAAAAAGTGTGCTTAGGCACACATTACAAGTCTAGAAGCAAATATACACATTTGACATATAAGGTTACAAATGGCTTTTCAAGCCAACCTTCACAAGAATTGAACCTTCAAGTTCCCAAATCATCCAAGCATGGTGAGAATCTCTAACCTTGAATCCTGTACCTGAAATATGCCCCAGTATCGTAGGGGTGAGTAACATAAAGCTACTTGTAGGAAATGAGCATGCATCGACCTACGTTTTACAAGTTTGCATGATTAATTATTGTGATTCATTCCACCTAACGTCCATGTCAAAGGTGAGACTCAAGGAGCATCCTAGCTACCTAAGATCATTTATAGCATCAATCACCTCATTCATGCAATTTTAGCAACATAGGGTCATGCTTACACAAAGCAACAACATAGGAGCATGCTTACATAAAGCAACTAACATAGATTCTCAAAGTCATCAATTTGAAATCTAAAGAACGAAAACGACATAACTGATCATGCCACCTAACGTCTATGTTCCAAATGAATCTATAGGATCATTCCTACTTTACATTTAAACAACACAACATGAATGTACTTGATAACATCAAAAGCTTATAATGATTCATTAAAATCATAAAACAAGAATGTACTTAACAACATTAAAAGCTCACAATGATTTATTAAAAACCATGAACATGAATGTACTTAACAACATTAAAATGATTTATTAAAATCATAAAACATGGATGTACTTGGCAACATCAAAATCTACAAAGATCATAAAGCATGGGTGTACTTAACAACATCAAAATCGCCGATAACCAAAACCACAAGTCACAATATAAACATGATTGCTAACTTGAAATTGAATGCGAAAATAAATAATGGAAGACTTGGACATCTAGACTCGGAATTCTGCCGAGATCAATGGTTGTTCCGGGCACTAACCCGCAGGGAAAACCACCCTAAGTGCGCACTATCTCAATTGGGGAGAACTCATACCTCCCGCACTAAAGCCAAACTTTAGCCATATTATAGTAACCATGTCCCAAGTGACTCCAAAATAAATAAGTTAACAACTTATATATATACGAAACTACATCCCATGCACAAGTAGTTTGTAACCACACATTACTTGCTCTAAATCCACAACTACTATAGGATGACAAATGTCGAATCTTCAGAGCGCGATTCGTTACGCGCTATATAGCATCACATGTCGAACCTTCAGTGTGCGATTCGTTACACGCTATGACAATATAATCTAATAGTGAAATCCCAAATTCATGAATCCATTACAAGTCAAAAAATCATGCTTTAACATACAACCATTGTTAAATACATGATCAAATCATTAATGCAATAGAAACGAAATTTTATCAAATAACCAAATTAATTTCCCTAAGCTTCATACCTCAACCAAATGGTCCCTAATTAAAACATGTTATACAACATATCATGGTATCCACATATATTCACTAAAATCTCAAGTAGGACAATGGTACAACAAGGTAGAATTTAATTATATCATGATAATTAAACTTCTAAATTTCAAGCAACTTCAAATGGTCCCAATTTAATACATACTAGTACACAAGTCCTAGTCCTCATGATTATCAAGTTAAAAGCTTAACTAGGCCTAGGGAACCATTAAATAGATTTTAATTTATCATTTAAGTTAAAATCTCTAGATTTTCATACTTGTCCAAATGCTCTCAAATTAAAGTATGTTAACAAACATGCTTAGACTTAATTGAAAAGCATACTACAAGTTCATTTCATGCAAGGTACGGCCATGGAAATTTATCTTTCACAAAAGAAAAATATTAAATAAAAAGCTCAACTCTTATTCAAATAATCCCTATTTAATATATATTAACAAACATATTAAAGTTTAATTTATCATCATACCACAATTCAAATCTAAGCTATACACATCCTTGAAAATTTAAATCTTACACAAAGAAATAAATAATACTAACTTTCTAGATTTAATACAAGGCATACATATGAGTTGTATAATCATGAAAAATACTCAATACAACATACAAACAATCCTAAAACATTCCCTACCTCCATTTGAGATGAAATCTCAAATCCCCACCAAAATGAAACGGCTCCGAATCCGACGAAACTTCTAGGTTTTGTCGGGGACAACACGATCTACATGAACCCCCAAGAAGCCCCATGAAAATCCAAACTTGACCTCAATCCTGAACTCAAAATTTGGTCAAAAATGGTTTCTAATAAGGGGAAAAGGTGCACGGCATCAAGGCAAGCATTAAACGTTAAGGCCAAAGACTTTTCATCAAAGAAAAGTGGATCAAAGGAGGAGAGAGAAAGTGGCAGCCATGGGAGGGAGCTTGGTCGGCCATGGGAGAGGAAGAAGAAAAAGAAATCTGATTTTTTTGTTCTTAAGTCCCATATTTATAGTAAGTCTCAAAAAGTGCCCCGAAAGGGCCCCGTTGGGTCCGGAAAAGTGGATTTTGAGCAAACGAGCTCAAACGGAAAAACTCTATGAACGAAAAAGATTCAAATGAGAAAATATGCACAATGGAAGAAACGGCGTCAAAAACTGAGTCCCGAGCAAAGAGTTATGCCCCAAACAAGTTTGGCACAAACCGGGGCCAGAAACCCTGAAACTGGAAAACATCGACCAGGAGGAGAATCTAAGAGTCCACGACTCGACAAAATGTGAAAATGAATCCCGTACGAGGATCCAGGCTCAAAACAAGGCATTGGGCAATAACTTTCATTAATTGCACAATGGCCCCTCCAAAAGGTGAAAACTGCGAAACTGCCCCAGAATGAAAATATCTTCCAAAAGATATTTTCTTAGATACCCCTGAAATAAAATATCTTCAAAAGATATTTACGAAAAACACCCCAAGAAAGGGAAATGTTTCCAAAGAACTTTGCACTTATGCCCCTATGGGCACTGGGAGCAACCAGAGTACTTTCTTGCGAAAATAAAGATACGTATTTCGAGGAAACCACTCAAGATGAAGACATGTGAAGTCAAAAACTAACTCCGAGCATGAAAAGTGAAGTTTTGCCAAACAAGCGACAAACGGGGAAAAGATAGAATAGGGAAAAAGACGAAACAAGGAAAAGGACGAAAGACGCATAGTGTCCGAAAAGTGAAAATGCAGAATTGACTCGGTCCTCAAAGGAAGTTGTCAATCCACGGAAAAGAGTCTCGGAAACCATTTTCGAGCACTCGAGATGACACTAAGCGATAAGAAACCAAACTCAGAAGGGAAAAGACAACGAAAAAAATTTATCCGAAAAATTCGGGTCATTACATCTACTGCTATTACTGGTGAAAGCCGTGAGGAAGAAAAGTCTCTCCATAAATTTTGGGAGAAATCAAACAGATTGAGTATTATGTTTATGCGAATGACTATTGCAAACAATATCAAAATAACTCTTCCCCAAGCTGATAATGCTAAGGAATATTTGAAAAATATTAAAGAACGTTTCTGTACTGCAGATAAGTCTCTTGCAGGGAAATTAATGGCTGACCTCACTACTATGCATTTTGATGGTACTCGTAGTATGCATGAGCATGTTCTTGACATGACTAATCATGTTGCGAAATTGAAAACTTTAGGGATGAATGTGGATGAGACTTTTCTCGTTCAATTTATTCTCAATTCCTTACCTACTCAGTATGGGCCATTTCAAATTCACTATAACACTATTAAGGACAAATGGAATGTGAATGAATTGGCTAGTATGTTAGTTCAGGATGAAGGAAGGTTTAAGCAACAAGATAATCATAATGTTCATCTCATGACTCAAGAAGGAAAGAAATTTGGGAAAAGGCCTGGAAAAGGCATTAAGCGAGCAACACCCCAAAAAAAGGATTCTGATCAAGCTACTCAAAAGAAGGAACGTAAGAATGATAAGTGTTATTTTTGTAACAAATCTGGACACTTTCAGAAAGATTGCATAAAACGTAAAGAATGGTTCGAAAAGAAGGGTAAGCCTTTGGCTTTTGTATGTTTTGAATCAAATTTAATTGAAGTTCCTTCTAATACTTGGTGGGTTGATTCAGGCTCTAATGTTCATATTTCCAATACGATGTAGGGATTCCTTTCAACCCAAACCACAAATCCAAATGATGATTTCTTGTTCACAAGGAATAGGGAGAAAATTCCAGTTGAAGCCATTGGGACATTTCATTTAGTTTTAGACAGTGGATTTCATTTAGAATTGTTTAAAACTCTTTATGTTCCTTCAATTTCCCATAATTTAATTTCTTTGTCCAAACTTGATGTTGATGGTTTTTCATTTAAATTTGGTAATGGATGTTTCATTTTGTTCAAAAAATCCCAATTTGTTGGTTCTGGTATTCTTGTTGATGGTTTATACAAGATAAAACATGATGATTTATTTTCAGAAACACTTTTGACCTTGCATCATAATGTTGGGACCAAACGTAGCTCAATTAATGAAAATTCGTCTTTCTTGTGGCATAAAAGATTGGGTCATATATCCAGTGAAATGTTAAAAAGATTAGTAAAAGATGGAATTATTTGGAATCTAGATTTTACTGATTTTATTGTGTGTGTGGATTGTATTAAAGGTAAATAAACCAAACACACAAAGAAAGGAGCCACAAGGAGTATAGAGCTTATTGAAATTATTCATACAAACATTTGTGGACCTTTTGATGTTCCATCTTTTGGTGGAGAAAAATATTTTATCACATTTATAGATGATTTTTTACGTTATGGATATATCTATTTGTTGCATAATAAATCTCAAGCAGTGAATACTCTTGAAGTATACTTAAATGAGGTTGAAAGGCAACTAGATAAAAAAGTGAAAATAGTAAGGTCAGATAGAGGTGGAGAATATTATGAAAAGTATGATAAAACAGGTTAATGCCCTAGACCGTTTGCTAAATTCCTTGAAAATCATGGCATTTGTGCTCAATACACTATGCCAGGCATGCCACAGCAGAAAGGTGCAACTGAAAGACGTAATCGTACTCTTATGGAAATGGTTAGGAGTATGTTAAGTAATTCCTCATTACCCATATCATTGTAGATGTATGCTCTTAGAATTGCTATGTATGTATTAAACAGGGTTCCTAGTAAGGCAGTTCAAAAACTCCATTTGAACTATGGACAGGAAGGAAACCTAGTTTAAGGCACTTGCATGTTTGGGGTTGCCCAGCGGAAGCTAGGATTTATAATCCACATGAAAAGAAATTAGATTTTAGAACAGTTAGTGGGTACTTTATTGGTTACCCAGAAAAATCCAAAGGGTATAGGTTTTACTGTCCTACACATAGTACAAGAATTGTTGAAACCGGTAATGCCAGATTCATTGAGGATGGTGAAATCAGTGGGAGTGATAGAAATAAGAATGTGATCATTCAAGAAGTTAGGGTACAAATCGCTTTACCCACAACTTCTAAAGAAATAATTGTTTCTCCAGTTGTTGAACTGCATAGCAACGAAGAACAATTAAATGATCAACAACTCGATAATGAAACTATCACCAATGAAGTTATAGAAGAACCACAAGGAATAACATTAAGACGGTCTCAAAGAGAAAAAAAGGCTGCTATTCCGAATGATTATGTGGTATATCTACATGAATCTAATTTTGATATAGCGATATGTAAGGATCCGGTTACATATTCACAAGCCATTAACAGTACTAATTCTATTAATTGGATTAATGCCATGAATGAGGAGTTGAAGTCAATGGAACAAAATAAAGTTTGGGAACTCATTGAATTGCCTGAAGGATTTAAACAAGTCGGGTGTAAATGGATCTTTAAGACCAAACACGACTCTAATGGCAATATTGAATGATATAAAGCCAGACTTGTAGCCAAGGGCTTCACTTAGATAGGAGGCATTGATTATAAAGAAACTTTCTCTCCTGTATCTAAGAAGGATTCCTTTAGAATTATCATGGCATTTGTAACTCATTATGATTTAGAGTTGCATCAAATGGATGTGAAAACAACTTTCCTAAATGAGAGTTTAGAAGAAGAAGTCTATATGGATCAACTTGAAGGCTTCAGATTAGAGGGTAAAGAACGCATGGTCTATAAACTTAAGAAATCAATATATAAACTCAAACAAGCTTCCCGACAATGGTATATTAAGTTTAATGATACTATTACTTCTTTTGGTTTTAATGAAAATACTGTTGATCGGTGTATATACCACAAGGTTAGTGCGAGTAAGTTTATATTTTTGATTCTATATGTTGATGATATTTTGCTTACTAGTAGTGATCTTGGTTTATTGCATGAAACTAAAAATTATGTCTCTAAGAATTTTGAGATGAAAGATATGGGTGAGGCATCCTACATGATAGGAATAGAAATATTTCGTGACAGGTCACGTGGATTGTTATGATTGTCTCAGAAAACATATTGAGAGAATTCTAGAGAGATTTGGTATTTAACACTGTTCAGCTAGTGTTGTTCCAATACAGAAAGGGGATAAATTTAGTTTGATGCAATGCCCAAAGAATGAATTAGAACATAAAGAAATGCAAAATATTCCTTATGCATCTATTATGGGAAGTTTGATATATGCACAGGTTTGCACTCGTCTAGATATTGGTTTTGTAGTTGGAATGCTAGGCAGATACCAAAGCAATCCAGGAATGCATCACTGGAAAGCTGCAAAGAAAGTCATGAGATACTTATAAGGAACAAAGAATTATATGCTCACATTTAGAAGGACTGGTGACTTAGAGGTTATTGGTTACTCAGACTCAAATTTTACTGGATGTGTGGATAGTAGAAGATCCACTTTTGGTTATTTGTTTCTTATATCTGGAGGGGCAATATCATGGAAAAGCGCAAAATAGTCTATTATTGCTTCATCTATTATGGAGGCTTAGTTTGTAGCATGCTTTGAGGCTACAAATCATGGTTTGTGGTTACGGAACTTTATTTTGGGATTTGGTGTTATGGATTCAATTTCTAGACCGCTGAAAATTTATTGTGATAACACCGCAGCTGTCTTCTTTACTAAGAATGATAAGTATTCTAATGGCATTAAGCATATAGAGCTGAAATATCTTACCATTAAAAAAGAAGTTTAGAAATAACGAGTGTCTTTTGAAAATATAAGCGCACAACTTATGGTTGCAGATCCATTAACAAAAGGATTACTGCCCAAGACATTCATAGGGCATGTTGAAAGAATGGGTCTTGAATGTAATCAAAGTTAACTATTATTTTTTGTTATGGATTGCTTAACAATGCTTATATATATTTGACATTTTGAGCTCATTAAAATGTGTTTATGTTATTTCCTGTTAATTTATGTATGTACATGCATGTATTACTTTAAATGATAAAAACAGGAATAGTCTTAGAAAAGACATTATTGCTAAACCTTTATTGTTTCTTCTCACTTATAGACTATGTTAAATGCGTTACAAGTGTTGTGGTACATGGAAGGGACTATGTCATTTAGTGACATGCAACCGCCATGACTCGCATTGGTAGTTTGTTTACCATAGTATTTATGATGACCAACTTAATACCTTAATTTGATTTATAGTGCACACTAATGACTATTTTACTAAACCACTACAGAAATTATTATATGTGGCAAGTGGGAGAATGTAAGATTATTTATTTAATTGTGGCCCACATAATTTGGACATGTGACATATTACTTGGTGGCTAAGTAAATAGATATCAATTAATATTATTTATTTTTTTTCAACTTATAATTAACTTTTAGGAAATTACTTATTGGAGAAGTGTTTTCCTTTTTATTTCTTATTTTGATGGAAAGTATAATTATGTTACTAAAAGGAAAATTGTGACGACCCTGGTTTTTAGCCCAGCGTGTCCTGTGATGAACCGTAAGGATGATCCGATAACGGATTCGAATGCGGAAGCGAAAATAGAAAACAAGACTCTAAGAAGTCAAAGTGACCTTCCATGAGGTCGTGGAACTAACAAGAACTGATGCGGAAGCAAAAGATCGAAAATATGACAAATAAGCCCCCAGGGGCAAAATAGTCATTTCTGAAAAATATAGATTCGGGAGCCACTGAGCACACCCCTGGAAGGACAATGAAAAACAAATCAAGATGGACTCAAGAATTGCATGATTCGGAGTCCAAACGAAGGAGAAACGACATGACGAAGAAAAACGAGCACTTAAAGCAAAAAGGGTAAACTGGTAATTATCCAGGAAGAACCAAGTGCAACCAAGAACACCATTGGAAAGACAGCGAAAAATTAGTCAAGTTAAAAAAAAAATTCACTTGAATCGGAGTCCGGACGAAGGAGAAAAGCCCAAAAGAAGAATTGACGTCGCGGCGGCCCGACGAGGGGCCATGGCGCACAAGGCACCCATGCGCGAGCCCACCGGCGCCCAAAAACATGGCTGGTGGCAGCCCTTGGCTGCTGCTACATTTTTTTTGATCTACCCAGAACTGAGGCTTGAAACAGAGGTCAAGACGAGATTTGCTGGAAAAACACGAAGAAGAAACCCACCCTAAAAACGAGTTTTCTACCCGACTGCGCAAACAGAATCGAAAAAAACTCACTGTGAGATCCCCAAAATGCCCCTAGATCAGAACTGAACAAGAGGGTCAATAAAGCTGCTAAATGAAAACTGGAAGCTGAAACTTCACGAGGGATTTCCGGTACCAAGACGACCTTTTCTGGAAAAACACGAAAAAGAAACCCCCCCCTAAAATCACATTTTCTAACCGACCATGTCGAAAGAAGAAAATAAAACTGAGGTGAAAGGTCCATAATGCCCCTAGATCAGAATATGCAAAAAAAATGCAAAATGAATTCACAAGAGGCTTAAAAGAAAAACGATGAGGTTTTGCCCGGAAACGACTATGCACGCAAACGTAAAATACCTATTTAGACGCGCTACAATGGTCCATGGCTTAAAAATATAGCCGATGCAAAATCCGACCCCCCAACGGGCAAAAAGGCAAAAATGGACTTGGAATGGAAAACATGGAATCTAAAAATACAAAACGGGATCAAATGACCGTTTGGCCCTTGGCCACACTTCATACAAGATTAATAAGACTCTATAAAAGAATGAAAATGGAATTCCCACACCCGATGCAACCATGGTGAAGCAATGACTTGCGATTTTTCAAGTTTTTCATAACATTTCATGAAGTTAAAAAGTTGCATAGAATACAATATATATGTCATTGGACTTCGGCCTCACCTCATACATATCAAATACATTGAAAGGAGTGTACTTAAGTACACATTACATACATGGAATCAAACATACATATTTTGACATATAAGTCTACAAAATGACATTTCATGCTAACATTTGCATGAAATGGAAACTTGAAAGCTACTCAACATCCAAGGAATGCTAGGCTTCACGAACCAAGTCTTCGTACCTGAAATATGCCACAGTATCGTAGACGTGAGTAACATAAAGCTACTCGTAGGAGATGAGCATGCATCGACCTAGCATTTTACAAATTTATCACCTTAAGGTGAAACATGTTAAAGGGGCTCATGCCACCTAACATCTATGTCCAAGTGAGACTCAGGGAACATCCTAAGCTACCTTAGAGTCTAAGCAACAAGAATCATGATATACATACGTGTATGAAACGAATCATGGTTGGAATAATCTAAAGAACATGACAAGAAGAATGCTTGAGCATATATTAACATAAATTGCATTTTCAATACAATTGAACTAGGTCTAGAGTAATCCATACAACATAACAAAAGCATATTTGAATACAAGTTAACAAGAATCACATTATCCATGCAATTCAACAACAAAAGAGCATGTTATACAATGCAACAAGGTCTAAGTTCTCAAAGCCATCAACTTAGAATCTAAAGGACAAAATAACAGTAGTGGTTCATGCCACCTAACGTCTATGTTATAAATGAATCAATAGGATCAATCCTAAGCTTTCTTAGAACGTCAAAATATGATTTTCAATATCGATGCAATTTAACCAACATTGGAACTTCCAATACAACGCATAAAGCACAATTTTGCAAAGTTAACATCCTGTAACTTAAAATGGAACGACAAATAAGAAACAACAAGTTACAACATCATCTAGTTATCAACTTGAAAATGAAATGCGAAATCAAACAAAGTGGATACTCGGACGTCACGCCAGATCAGACCGACAACATAGTTACTTTAGGGTTACTAGCCCATGGGTAACCTCCCTATGTACGCACTTGACCATATAGAGGGACTATCCCCCGTACTAGAACCATGTCCTAGCCATAGTCAAACAACGACATCCCCAAGTTTCCAAAATCAACAAGTTGTGCAACAACGCATATATCAACAGGAATATGCAAGATAATCAACTATCTACTAAGCATAACCAAATTTGGAAACCTATACAATACATGCTCTAAATCCACAGCTAATATGAATGATGAATGCCGAATCTTCAGTGTGCGATTCGTTGCACGCTATGCATGAAAGATGTTAAACACGAAGTGTTCAAATCATTACACAAGGCAATAATATATTCAATAAGGAAAGCATATTATCACGAATACAAACATAGCAACTATGTTATCCAATGTTCAAAACATAACCAAATGAATATACAACAAGTCTAAGTCCATGATTTGAATATAGAAATCACTTCTAAAACTCAACTAGATCATGAAGCAAATTGAAAGAATTTAAATAGATAAACACAATTAAATTCTCTAGATTCCGATTCAATCCCAAATAACCTCAATTTAATACATGTTAAAGGACATGGTATGGTCATCACCTATATCCATTCTAAAACTCAATTAGGTTGTTGGAACAACAAAGTAGAACTTTAATTAAATCATGCTAATATA